ACTGTAAAGTATTCACCTGTTATAATAAAAATAAATGTATTTCAAGCAAACAGAATCGTACTAAAGAGCTAGTTAGCATTAAAGATCATCTTTGACATTTCAAAAGACCACGACTACCTCACGATTTATCGTGTCTGTCGGGTTAAAATGTCATATTATTCCATGGTTATATAAATATCATATTCTATGCAAATTATGTAAAATAAAGGATAGTTATTTGTTTAAAGACAAAGAATAAGGCCATTTTAATAAAACGTGGATAAAGTTCTTTTATTTATGATCTGTATCATGATTTAATTATTTATTATTACAATATCGTATCTACATCCTACGTAGTCCAAGTAGTTTCCATTTTGAAATGATGTTCTAGTTCGTGATGTAAGTTTTTTATTTTTCGAATGAGAGAGTTATGTTAATGCTATCAAATAGGATTTAAATGTGCTTTTAAACCTATATTTAGACTAAACTGTTCTATTCTTCACAAGAAGTCTGTCCGTTTTGATGTAAACCTAAGTAAAATAGGTCAACAGACAACCCCAAATTCATCTACAAATATTTAAAACAAATACTGGATCTTATTACTCGTTTTACTGATTTCTTGAATGACGTGCAAGTGGTTTTTTATATAAGATCCATATCCTTAAATCACTTTAGTTGATATATAACCTTTAAGTAAAAATAAAGTTACATACGTTCTTTTTTATATTTTTTTTTTAATTCAACAAATGTCGTAAAGTATAAACGAGTTGCATTAAACAAACAAGTCAATTAGCCGTCTCGTATAAATCACATAGTGTGGGAGGCTTTCCGATAATACCTTTTTCTTGATTAACTATTTATATAACTGTCGTTCACATTGATGAGTTTCTTTACAAGTGGCCATGGGACTGTGATGGCACTAAATTTGACATACCATGAATATTTAGAGGCAACATGAAACAATGTTCAAGAAACATAATTTTGATTATTGTTGAAGTTATACTTCTTTTGGCACGTTTGGAAAAAAATATAAGTGTAAAATTTTCGATGCGCGCGCACACCGACAGCCAAAAAGTGACATGATGAAGTTAGCTGAAAGCGACATGATGAAGTTAGCTGCATTCCTTTTACAAACAGAGAGTTATGAAATCTTTAGCTATTTTTGTTTTGTTACACCAAAGAAGTATTACTTCTTACGTGCATACATAAGTACATACACATTTTTTTTATAATAAGATAGTTCTAAGTTAGAGTTTATGTTTTATCTAAAGGCTTATGAATTGTTTAGTTTACAAGTTGTGTAGTGTGTTATCCATTCTACGTGACATTGGCGAAGTAATCTGTGTTCAATTGGCACGCTTTGAAGCCATTATGTGCGCTTGGCACAACTAAGTATTAAAAGGTATATAAAATATATATTCAATTATTGCCTCCACGACCGCGAACACGCCGGCGTTACAGTTAACAATAGATTTCTTAGAAATTTACCTGGAGGTGTTAAACAAAATGCACTCTATTGATATGAAACCGATATAAATGTGGTTAATAAGGTAATTTAATCGAGATTATATACATATATTGCTACTCGAAACTATTTTATGTAAATTGCAATTATACTTTTAATTAAATTTATAGTTTTACGAAATTAATTAATAATTAATGTAAGTACTTGTTAATGAACAGGTGGTAAGGTGATTAATTCCTTTTTAAATTATTAATTTTATTTCCATGGTAACAGAATATGTATATATTAAATACATTTTTAAATAATATACGGGAGAGTCATGATATTATATTGAAAGCTATCCGTGATTTACGATCGTGTCCACTTTAAATAATCAAGTTTTCTTTTTAAATATAAGAAATAAAAGAAAAGCTAGAACAACAATAGGAGGATACCAAATGTTTTAACAAATGCTAATAATGTTATATGTCAAACTAGCGACTCACCATCGCTCCGCTCGGATTCGTCCCTTGTTACATTTTAACATTTAGTATAGATTTCTCAGAGATGAGATATTTTTCCGCAGTAAAAAGTATCCCATATGTTGACCCGGTTAACCAGCTATCATCATACCAAATTTCATCAAAATCTGCTCAGTGGTTTTTTCTTGATGAGGTCACAGACAGACAAAAATTCTAAAAATTATAGATTCGGTCTCTGTATCGATAACACTATATCAATAACATTTTCAGAAGAATATTTAATGTAGAGATTCGACTCAGTTTAAATTTTATTATTTATTAGTATATAGATAGATGGCATGATATTTGTAAACGACTAATCAAATTTCTTAGACAAAAAAAAATATTCCTTGGTCTGAGTTAAATTTAAACAAAGTTGTACAAAAAATAGTGGGTTTTTATTTTTTTTGTATACATGATAAAAAAAAATCGAATCTATACATATAATAAAATTGTAACTAAGCCGAATCTGTACATTAGATATTTTTTAGAAAATCTTATTGAAATAAACACTATTACCGACACAGAGACCGAATCTATAGTTTTTGAATTTTTGTCTGTCTGTCTGTCTTTCTGTTTGTCTGTCTGTTACCGCATCACAGAAAAACCACTGGAGGGATTTGGATAAAATTTGGTATGGTGATAGCTAGTTATCTGGGTCAACATATAAGATACTTTTTACCGCGGGAAAATATCTCATTTCTGAGAAAAAATACAAAAACTGCAATGTAAAAGTATACTAATATGTAAAACTTAAGAATTTGGTTTTTGGTCATCTGAACGCAGGCGGAGCCGCAGGCAATGCTAGTGATATATAAAAATAGATCATAATTTATTTCTTAAAAAAGTACGCAGTGAATGCAAGTATTCACACATTTTAGTGCTAAAGCAACACTTTAAAGCCTAAGAAAGACATTTTATGCACCCATTAGTATTATATTGATACGCTAAAATAGTTTTTGCCTGTATACTGTTGAAAAAATTTTATCGCCTAAGCTACATATTCGCATAATAAGTCATAAGTCAATAACCTTCAGCTTTTTAGAATTAAGTGCTATCAAAAGATTATATTGGTTAAATAAAACACTTTACAAAAAAAAGTAGTTTTGTAGCCAAACTAAGTTGGTATTAAGATATATAGACGAAACTACTCACTCTCGCTTAGTTCGCGTTCGTTCCTAGTGAAAAACAAAAACAAATCTATCCCACGGGAACCACACACTTTTCTGGATATAAAGGTAAATAAGCTATGTGCTATTCGGTTCCATATTAAAATCTTTCTCTGTTCCAAACATCTGGATCCGTTTAGCCGTTCTGGCGTAATCGAGTAACAAACATCCATCCAAACTTCCGCACTATAATATTAATAATGGCATACTGATTTTGAGATATAGCGTGGTTGGTACAGGTTTTACCAGATATGTATGTATACTTATACAATTTTTTCGGATTTAAGACGATGTCATAATTTTAAATTGAATGTCAAAACGACAGTACAAAAGTATCCTATTTGAACATGAAACAATAATATGCTATACTAGCGACTCACCCTCGCTTCGTTCGGGTTCGTCCTTAGGGTATGTATACAACTTCCCTATTTGAATCGGATATTATTAAATTTTTTATTGGTTTTAATTATTTTTTTCGTGCGACCCTATTTTTTTTTCTAAAATAAAAGTAGCCTAAGTTACTCCTTATTACATCAGCTATCTGTCAGTGAAAGTTCCGTCAAAATCGGTCTGGCCATTTCAGAGATTAGCCGGAATAAACAGACAGACAGACAGACAGACAAAAATTGTAAAAAATGTGGTTTTATTTGTATTAATATTAATATAAATTTGAACCTTTAAAATAATCAAGCAAATCACCACTATGCCACATATACAATTTTACATATAAAAAAACAAATTAAAACATAATATTAGTCATGCCCAATATGTCATATCAACATGTAAGACTGTAGATCAAACATCGTTCCTTCTCGAACACGATTTGTGGAGGCCGAATCGTTTATTGTTTTTACCAAATACACTATTAATGCTTTTTATGGTGCACTTTACATATGTTTAAGCTTTTAATGGATTTTGTAATCAATTATCAGATTGCCTACTGTGACGATCATAAAATTATAATATATGGCTTGGACCTTGGAGTATATATACACTGCCTACGTATTATTTCTAATTTTAAGAATTACTTCAGCTTTACATATTTTGAATAAAATTAATAGTGAGTAATGTCTATTTTAATTAAAACTGTAACTAGGAAAATATTTTTATATATTTATAAATAATTTTTATATGTTTATTTATTTTATAAGTTAATAGCGACTCACCCTCGCTTACGTTTTAACGTTAAGCTCAGATGAGATATTTTCCCACTGTAAAATGTATACTATATGTTGACCTGGATAATTAGCTATCGTCATAACAAATTTCATCAAAATTTGTCTAGTGGTTTTTTGGTGATGTGGTCGCAGACAGACAGACAAAAATTCTAAAAACAATAGCTTCGGCCTCCGTATCAATAATGAAGTCTATTTCAATCAGATTTTCAATAAAAATATTTAATGTACAGATTCGGTTAGAATTTTATTATATGTATGTATGTATATTATATGTAATTTTATATATCTAAAAAGTTAAGACTATACTTTTATTAATTAATTTAGTATTGAATTTTAGGTACATTTTATAAATTAGGTTTTAATGTATTTTAAATAGATATTGGAGACTGCCTTGTTGGTTTCGATGCTAGAATGTACGGCTGCAGAGCTGGACCTAGGTTTGAGTCCTGTGTAGGGTTAAATATAGTTATTGGCTTTGTCTATCAAGAAATATGTACCTCCTCGTGCGTCGTAGAGCATGTAAAGCCGTTGGTCCTGCGCTTTATCTCTCAACGTCGTGTCGTTTGAGAGTTTTAAGAATAGAGAATAAATGTTGTGTTCGCATACTTTTGTATTATAATATCTCCTGCATATTTGGCTAGTTTCAGGGATTTTACTCATGGTAAATACACAGATAACGAGGACACTATAGTTATGGATACGGAAGTTATAGGATATACGTACCTAAAGGCATCACGTGTCCAAAGTCATTCCCATCTCCAACTCCTGAGCAGTTCCACCTGTAGCCACCAAGCTGCGACCTGCACTCTGCGTAGGCCATCCTAGTTACAAAAAAAATAATAAATATTAAAGCTGTGCATTTTGATGCAAACAAAATCCATTTTAAATGCCAAAAGTGTGTGTGTGTGTATGTTTGTTACACTTTCACGATGAAACGGCTACCGGTTTTGGATGAAATGTAGTTTACAGATAGGTTATGAACTTTTTTAAACTAAAATCAAACAGAACCTCCCCCGTCTTAACAGAGCGTTGTAGGATAACTCAGGATCGCTTACGCACTCAACTACGATACCCTGACGGTCTGCCAAAGTAGACCACATAACCAAGAGCCACGGTCTACTCTGCTATTATAGAAGTACCAGGAGCAACGCCCATGGTACACCGCCAACCGAAGTAGTTACCTCTCAGAAAGGTGAAGGAGTGGTGGGAGGAGTTGTAGGAGGTAGATTATGACCTAGCGTAACATACAGGCTACTGTTAGGCACCTAAGGACGAGAGTAAAGCAAGATTAAATCGCTAGTACTGCTATAATACTTGAATGTGTTAATTAAAAATTCTATTTACTTACCTAAGGCCATCGCCTACAGCGGCTATAGCGGCGGGTGAGGCGCGACACATCGCGCGTTGTTTGTCCGTCAGACCGGCGACGCGTGCGCACACTAGGTGCGCGCCCAGGGACACCCCTCCTGAGACACTCGTTCTATAACAAATATGGTTGTTATATTTAATGAATTGTAAGCAAATATCACAAAAACAGGCACGAAGCGAGGATGAGTCACTAATTGTCCTAATTTTAATATTAATTATCTATACTAACATTATAAAGAGGTAAAGTCTGTGAGTTTGTGTGGTTGTAGGGGATTATCTACTGAACCGATTTAGATGAAATTTCGTAAGAAAATAGTTTGAGACCCTGGAAAGGACATAGGATACTTTTTATACCGGAAATCTCTTAAGGGGGTGAAAATGCGGATGAAAGTTTATTTGTATGGGGAATCAACCTAGGGACGAGTCGCTAGTTGTTTATAATATTAGTGCTATATTTATTAGTTATGTTAAAATTAAATGCAAGTAGTGACGGTAATTTGTTTTTCAACAAACAGATATCTGTTGATAGATACATGATAATGGTAGAGTAAGTAAAGAAATTATTTTTGTACACAATGACGTTAATTAAAACCAATCTATTTTTCCTTATATGTTACTGCTAATTACTATGACGATTGACATACATACATATGTATTATGTATGTATGAATGTTGCTTTATTTAAGATGTTTTTATAATTTTTAGGTAATTGCCTTCTTGGTCTAGTAGCTATTATGTAAGGTTGTAGATGTGGAGGACCTAGGTTCGAGTGTTAGGTTGGGCCGAGTACAGTTATTGGGTTATTCTGTTAAGGAATTTTTAACAGCAATCCGAAGTTGGGAAGTTGAAGGTGATATATATCAAGATATCGTCGTACAGGACTTTGAGAGTGTAGGAAATGGAGAATCCACTTTTGTTCATATACACGCATTGCACTGTACCCACCCACTACCCATGTATATGGATCAAACCAGCTGATTAGTCTCAGTGAGATAGATCGTCGTGACCAACAACTATCAGGGGGATTTTGTATTATAATGCGTATTAATAAAGTTTGAACCGTTTAGTTTAAAAAAATATCTTCCCCAATTTCGATATCAACACCACACCTTACGGTGAAAAAACATCATTAAGAAACCTGCATACGTAAGAAATCTGTACCCACCTTAGAGTGAAAATAATACATCATTAGGAAACCTGCACCTGAGGGAATCTAACTAGTTATCGAAATTTATGTGAAGTCTGACAACCCGCACTTGGCCAGCGTGGTAATCTCTCGCAATGTCCAATGCGATCGAGGCCCGTGCCCAGATGTGGGAAAAACAGGCTGTATGGCTGGCTAAATCTATACATATAATAAAATTCTAACTAAGCCCAATCTGTACATAAAATAATTATTGGAAAATTTTATTGCAATAGATATTATTATCGATACAGATGCCGAATCTATAGTTTTTAGAATTTTTCTCTGTCTGTCTGCCTGTTACCGCATCAAGGAAAAACCACTGGAGGGATTTTGATGAAATTTGGTATGGTGATAGCTGATTATCCGGGTCAACATATAGAATACTTTTTACTGCGGGAAAATATCTCATTTCTGAGAAAAAATACAAAAACTGCAATGTAAGAGTATACTAATATGTAAAACTTAAGAATTTGGGTTTTGGTCTGCCGCGAGCAATGCTAGTAAAGAATAAAGCCCATCGTCCTATTTCTATAAGTATGTATGTATATTCTACACTGTGTTGCCTAACAGGTTAATTTGACACTCTTGAACTACATGGCTAACGGACCGTTAAAACAAGCCGTAGTTCCCAAAACAAATGAATTCGTTTGTCATTGACCACAATTACTCTTGACAAAGTAAACAATCAAACTATGATGGTTTCGTTGTTCGCTAAATCGTTACACTCATTTCCGTTGTGCATTGTGCTTGTTAATGAATTAGATCCTTGTACACAAAAAAAATGGATTGCTTAAATGATATTAATTTTAAATATCATCGCCATATTCAAAAAAACCTTTTTATTTAATGTCCGTTTAAAAACCTTTTTGTTGTTTAATAAAAAAAAAAACATTTTATAATAACAATAATCTATACCACTACGGTTATTAACAATGTTATTGAAAAACTTTAATTTTTTTGGTTTTTTTTTGCTTTTAATGGCTTAGAGATATTTCTTGTTTATAACTTAAGAAATAACAAAAATATAAAATTAATATTGAATGTAAGAATAAAAATTTTATTAACTTTATTTAATAAAATAGAAAAAAATATATTAACTTAAAGTATTTTCATCCGATCCTATTTATATTAGAAACACAAAAGTTTGTGAGGATGGATGGATTGATATTTGTTACTCTTTCCCGCAAAAATTACTTAACGAATTTTGATGAAACTTTACACTAATATAGCTTATGATTCGGTGTAACACATAAGCTATAATTTTTAAGAATTTTGCGATACATAATTGAAATTAAACTACGTGAGCCGTAGGAAAACGCTAGTTATTATTATGTACAAGCGATATGTAGAAATATATCATGTACAATGTATGTACATTTAGGTACAAACATGGATTTGGTCGGACAGGTTTTTAATATAGTCAGTTTTAAATACGAAAAAAAAAAATATCTGTAACTTAAATTGTAACTTCAAAAACTACATCACTATTGAATAATAATATTTTTAAAGAAAAAGCGTTTTAGTGTTGTAAAGTACATATGTAGTATCGACTTAATTTATAAATAAACATAAATTCCTATCTAACGAGCGTATTGAAAGCTTTAATTCAATAAAAGTCTGTAGTATTATACTGGCGTAATAAAATTGCTTTATGTGTACAAGTTCGTTTTACATATAGGCTTTTATTTTGATCGTTACCTTTCAGTGCGTGGGAGTTGTGAATTGCCTCCCGGTCTGTCACGGCTCAACGTTAATTGGTACATCTCATTACCGTCGGCGTAATAATGAGACGATGACTTTAATGTCCAACATATAATGGTATGCGAGAATAGGTTCTACTTCTAAGGTAATAGAGATTATTTCTATATTTCTTAGAAGAATGGCGAGGGAAACTTATTATTTCTAGTTGGTGTAAAGTTTTAAAGTGCAAAAACTGCGTGTAAAATTAAGATTGTAACACTGCCAATGCATTGGCCATAACTGACTGTGGATTAGCATATACGGCTACAAATCCGGAGTTTCTGGGTTCGAGTCTCGGGTCAGACCATGGTTAATATGTATTTCTATTAGTAAGCGTAAAGCCATCGGTTCCGCACCTGATCTTTCTCTCGTTCGTTGTATCGAATTGTTGTCCCATCAAAGTATGAAAGCAATAGGATTAGAGAGTGCACTTGCGTCTGCGCACTTATTTACAAAAAAAAAATTGCTTAAAAGTTAGTTGACTCTTTTAATTTAAAATAAAAAAGTTTTTTTTTGATTTAGATACAATTTGAGTTTCTGTGAAACTGCAGAGAAATAAATTTTGCATATTTGAGGTGAGTCATAATAATTATAGTTGTGTTATAAATGCGAGTGAATGAGCCCATATTGTTTGCATTTCTGAGGTTACTTGTCTAATTCTAAACAACGAGGTCGTATTTTGATAAGCGTCTGTCCAACTATGTTAATGTTGAAACGAGATATTTTGAGACATCAGCTTTATTCACAGAACAATTTGAAAAGCAGATAATCAATACGGTTCTATATTTTTGTATATTTCTCTATATCTTACAAATTAGAAATCGATTTTGATAATTGTTTTTTTAATAACATTTGATAAAGTTTTAATTTTTTCCATTTCGCTGTGGAATGAACTCCCTGCCGAGGGTTTCCCAGAGGGCTACAGTATGGGGTCCTTCAAAAGGGGAGTAAATAAGTTCTTAAAGGGTCAGCATGTGATGCCCCTGGTGTTGTAGGCGTCCATAGGCTGCGGTAACCGCTTACCATCAGCATTACCGACGTGGTATAAAAAAAAAATAGGTTGTCCTCAAGGATGATATATATCCTAATAGTCCCTTATAATATAGAATCCCTTATATTTCATTTCTCTAATGTTTTTACCTTCACAGTTATATATAAGATTTCTGTTCTGTGATTTATTAATTCTACTTTTCAATTTCTACTTTAATATTGCACTCATTTATATATCGATTTCTAGAATGTTATCATAAAACTATGGATTATGAGCGGAAGTATAATTTCTCTCTATCATTGCAACAATATCTATATAAAACCGGTGTTACCCACTCCGTCTGTCTGTCGCTAATAATTGTATGAATTGTGGCTCTGATAACCGGACTTGATAATTGTATAGGGGAAATTCGGTTGGTATTCCAATAAATACGTTGACGACTCAAGACTAATTTCTTGTGTGTTAAATTAATAGCAAAAATTGAAAACAAAATCTTAACCAACAATCAATAAATAAAAACTGTACGGGTACTGATCCAGAAGTTCTAAGTTCGAGTATCGGGTCAGGCAGTGTTGTTATTGGCTTTGTCTATTAAGAAATTTCTACGAACAGTAACAACTCAATATTGGGAATTTGGTATAACTCGGTTCTGCGTGTGATCTCTCATTGATTCTGTCGAATTGTCGTCACACCAGGTTTCGAGAGTAAAAGGAATAGAAAAAGACGATGCCAATTTCCGTATTATTTATTAAAACCATAATATCTTATATAATAATAGACGATAACTTTTACTTAACACATCTACTTTTAAAACGTTGAAGTAGTATTATTAGTATTTAGTATATATATATGTATATATATATATATATATATATATATATATATATATATATATATATGTATGTATATATTTATCGTAATCGTATCGTATCGTATCGTAATCGTATATATAGTTATCGTAATGAAAGAGTTATTATTATAAGAATAATTTCAATTTTACGCATGTATAAAGTTATTAAATATAACTATTAAAAACAAAATGGTCCAACTCTCCCAGATATACTCTATACATTATTATGTTGTTTTATCACTTAGGGCGTAATAAAACCCTAGTAAAGCAGCTTTGATTCAGATTGGTCTGTTTATCTGTTTAACAATACAATATGTAAAATATCCTACATTAGCATGGCGCAAG